TTTTTCAAACAAATAGTGCAATTGTTTGAAAACGTTAATTTTTCGGACAACTTTACCAAGTCGGTAAAAATCAGCAGTTGTTCCGATATGATTGAAATTTTCATGGATTTGAGACTCATCAGTCTTCTATAGACTGTGAAAGTTTCAAGTTTCTACTGCCCCTGGGTAGAAAGTTGTGATTTTTTCAAACAAAGAGTGCAACTGCCTGAAAACGTCAATTTTTCGGACAACTTTACCAAGTCGGTAAAATTCAGCAGTTGTTCCGATGTGATTGAAATTTTCATGGGTTTGAGACTCATCAGTCTTCTATAGACTGTGAAAGTTTCAAGTTTCTACTGCCCCTGGGTTGAAAGTTGTGCATTTTTCTCAAGGCTCGCCCCAAATGGGACAAGGTAAGCCGCAAGGAACCCATTAAGGATTGTCTGATTAGGTTCGTTTCTTGCAGCTTTCCAATCAAGTGATTACCGATCAACTGTTGGAAATATTCGGCTCTTGGCAAGTGCAGGACTACGAGCCACCTACTGCCGAGAATGGGGTGGTGCCCAGAAACGCATTTGGAAATGTCGACTTGTTCAAACCGTGCATGTTGCCCAAAGGTTGTGTCCATTTAAGGCGTGAGTTTCACCGTCAACTTATCCACCCATGATCTGCATAAGCCGTCGTCTTTCCTTCCAGTCCCCGGGTTGAACAAAATCGCCAAAAAAATTAACATCGACTGTGCTTCCGCTATAGTGGGATTCGATTTTCACAGCGGATGGAGCCATCCCTGCTACGATGGATTTGTTGTGTGCAAAGAGTACGAAGACCAACTGATTTGTGCCTGGGATAACGTGAGTGGATCAGCACAGTGTGGGTCATTTCTGAGACATCTGAGTTACAGGATCAGGAAGAAATGGAGCGTAAAGAGCAAATGCTACACGACAAACGCGTGTACGGTAATTGGAAGAAGCTGATCAGGGGGTTGCTGATAAGGGAGCGACTGAAAGCAAAGTACGACTTCGGGGCGCCTTCAACGAGTACAAAACAGCCCAAAAAGAAAACGAAAAAAGTAACTTTGTGTACAAAGAAACCTTGACCGGTCGAAGTTGTAAAGTAAGTACCATTTGTGAGTATTGGCAGCACACATTAAAATCTTCAGTTTAAATTAAAATGTACATTCAGATCAGATCAGGGATCAGATCACTTTAATATTTAGGTAAAAGTTAATTGGCTGTTTTTTTCTGTTTAGCGCATTGTTTATATTGCGATTTTTTGCATGGTCGCGCGTTTAGACTTTAAACTCAATTGATCGGATTTGTCTTCCGTCAGGGATTAAATTAAAGTAAAGTCAATGATACGAGTATTGATCAATGTTTATTCAATGCATTCAACTGAGACAGTAAGAAATATAAATATAAAATACCGACAAACATTGTATCGGTTTACTTGACGAGTCCCAGTTTTTTCGCTTCAATTTCGTAAATGAGTAGCCTCCACATTTTTACAACGAATACTTCGGCCTCTTCATCAAGCACCTTGAACATCAACACAACAGTTCCGATGGGAATTCAAAACGAAAGCAAAACCACTCACCATTTGTACGTCTTCCAAAATAGTTTGCGGTAACGAACCCGCTAGTACTTTGTTACATATGAAGTCGACAAGTGTTGGCTCGGGTTCTCCAATATATTCGATGATCTTTTTGTTAATCCAGGGCCTGATTCGCTTCTCCATTAGACCGTTGTCGATTTGCGCCCAGTCCAAGGTGTACGCAAACAGAGCTTCTTTTTCTGTCGGTATTTTCTCAATCAGTGTCTTTATGTTCTTGCGCTTTTCTTCCTGAGATTTTGCTTCTTCACCCTTCTTTTCGCCATTCTCCTTTTCCCTTTTCGATTTTTTATCTTCGCTATAATCTGAGAAAAAAACACATTCACAATCCTCAAATCAATAGATCCACTATCAAACCATTCCCTTACCCAAAGGAACTAGCTTTCGTTTTTTGACTTGTGCACTACTGTCGTCCTCGTCCGGATTGAAGACGTCTCTAAGATCCAGTTTCTTTTTTCTCTAAAACACGATTCTTTGTAAGTATTGTTCCGTAAATCCTTTGATGATACTGACCTGGCCTGGCGACAGTGCGTTGTTTAATGCAACTGGTTTTGCTAGAGTTATTTTCATCGGTGCTTGATGAACAGACTCTACTGGCGATGAGAACGATTGTCTTGAGTCTTCATCGGGGGCTTGGATTTGAGTCCACTAAAAATGCCAGTTCCTTGAAAACGGTCCAACAAGCAATGGTTTTGTGGATAAATTGAGTACCTGAGCGGAATCAGAGTTGTCGTTCGAACAGGATTCCATGTCGGGCTCGGGGACTGGAGGGCTGTAGTGGTTCGTGTCCATGTCGCTATCACTGTCGATTGGCTCGGCTTCGACTGCCTCCAGTTCTTTCGCTGCTTGTGCAACAAGGTACCTGAAAATAAAGCAAAGAGCAACGTAGTGACACGCTTTTTAATCTCCCCAAAACTCACTTTTCGCGTTCTTCCCGATGTCGCCGATCACGCTCCAACTCGCGCAGTTTCTCCCTTTCCCTCGCCTTTTGCCTTTCCAATTCTCTTTCCTTTTCTCGCTCCTTCTGCTTCCAGTGTTCCAAATTAACATCGATGAGGAGTTTCGGCTTGTAAAGGTCCTCACGCTCTTTCTTCGCCTATGAGTTTTAATAAAGCGCTTAAAGCTTAACGTTTAAAACTCTTGCAATACGAACCTTTTCAAATGCTTCATTGGGGTCTACGTGATCTTCGGCGAATATCCTCTTACGAAGATCTTCCATTTCATCTTTCTCTTTCATTCTGTCCTTAGTATCAGAATCTACTTCCTTGAGGCGTTCAGCGACCCGTTTTTGCAACTCCCGACCCCTAAAGCATTAAATAGGATGGTAAAAGAAGAAGCAAGTTGTATTCGACATACTTGTAGTATTTGACGTCGTCTCGTTCATCATCGTAGTCTTCTAGAAACTCTTTAAGCCTTTTGGCATCGCGTTCACGTTCTTCCTCTTTGAGGCGCTCTCTTTCGCGCTCTTTTTCATATTCCTTGGTTTTCCGACGCTCTCTCGTCTCCCACATTCTGCAACCAAATTACTTTGCACTTCGGTCTGTGAAGGTGAATGGATCAAACTCACCGCAGCCTCTCCTGGTAAGCAGCTTCCTTTTCTCGAGCTCTCCGCTCCGCCTTTTTTTTCTCTTTCGATTCCTCTTCCATTTCCTTTTCACGCAACAGTTCCTTGGTGCTAAGTTTGTCCAGCCTTTCCCTATCGCGTTCCTTTTCCTTCTCTCGTTCTCTTTCACGCTCCCGTTCGCGTTCACGGTCCTTTTCTCTTTCGCGCTCCTTCTCCCGTTCCCGTTCTCGTTCTTTCTCGCGTTCTCGTTCCCGCTCCCGGTCCCTATCTCTGTCACGACTTTTGTCATGGGTACGATCATGAGTTCTGAAGAAATGAATGTGGTTATATTTAGGCCATTACGTAGAAATGCAAGTCTTACCTGGACCGAGATCGTTTTTTCTTTCGATCTTCTTTATCTTTGCGTTTGGGGGTAGGGGATCGTGACACGGACCGGCCCTGATCGCGATTTCTCTCCTTCTTTTTAACCTCGCGCTCCTCCTCTTGTTTCTAAAAAGAAACGGCAATCAGCAATGTGAAAGGGCTTTGTGGCACGCAAACTTGTAAACTAAAATCGCATTTCTTAGGCCAAAAAATCAATCAAGTGAAAATGATTTCATTTGCAACTTGGCAACAATTCACTGTAGAAGTACCTGTGGACAATGTAAATACGATTTAACAGGAAACACCACCCCGATGCCTACACAGTTTAGAACCCAAAGTGTAAAAATGCGAATTGCTGCAATACAGTGAGAGAACAATGTATATGTAAGTTATAAGGTATCACTAACTTAGCCTAAGACAAGTTTCGGAAAAACTTACTCTCAAAAGAATGCTGACAAGAGGATCGGCGGAACACTAGCTTAGCGTTGTATTTTGTTCCAACAACTTGCTTTTATCTGCGAGACCGGAAGACTCTCATTTAGGGCCCTCAGTGAACTTACGAACTAAAACCACTTCTCCGTAACTTACGAATACGGATTGTGGTTACAGTGGCTAATACTAGGTCTTTCTCTTAGTTAGAGGCATATAGTAAAGTTAACACAAAATCGTTGTCTAGGCATAGGCAATAATCTCTATGGAAGAACTATGGAGATTATTACTTACAGTAGACAGTGTTAAATATTCAAGTCACAGGATGTCCGGTGGAACAGACTGCGTAGCCACTGAAAGGCGATTTAAAGAGCGCGCTGTGACCCAAATATTCGCTCTTGTATCTATGGAAGGACTTAAAGTGAACTTAGTGATTTGCATACTTTCATTACTCACCAGCGGCGCCACGCGGGCCGACAATCCGGTTGGAGACTGCGCCGCGCTTTCCATGCCTGTTCGGTTTCAACAACGACATAAGCGCAAACTTATCTCTAATATATAATTATAAATAAAAGTTGATCAAGTCCACGACTGTTTGCTAGTCAGACTGTCTGTCCAACCCGCAAAGAGTTGCAGCAAGAGATGAAATAAATGCCAATCATCATTGCTCGGTTTGGTTTAACTTTGACTTCTCAGCCATGTAGTTATGGGAAACGCTTCTTGGCATTTACTTGATGAGCATTTCAACAGTTTTATGCTGGTGGCTAAAGGGTGAACTTACCTTCATAATTTCCCTGAACTTTCCTATTTCCCTGCTAATGAGGTCGCGTTTCTCTTCCTCCACCTCGGCCTCGGCAAGGACTTTGTTCCACGTGGTCATAACTGAATACCTAGCATATTCAGCACTTTATATTCGGCAAAAAAAGTCGCCCGTTTAACCCGCATTCATGGGAAATTGAGCAAAGCAAACATCACCTTCTTTTTTGTGGTCATAATTAGACATCTCCTCTTGGTAGTCATTCAAAATCTGTTTGATTCGCTCTTTGGAGAGAGCATCCAAATATTGAGTCTCCTCGTCAAGTTCATCTTCTGGCTCATCTTGCAAAGGTGAAGATATTTGCTTTTTCTGACGCTCAGCTGAAGCAATAGCAAGGTAAATGAGCACAAATAGCCAGTGGAAAGTTCAAAATTAATCTCACCTTTATATTCGTCTAATATTGTTTGAGTCTTGGCATCTACTTTGGCCACTAGTCTTTTGTCATGAACCATTAGGTCATGCAACAGCCTGACTGCTCGTAGTCCCGCGTCTGGTCCAGCTAATTCGCAAAATCCAAACGCTTTCACCTTCTTCCAGCTGAGAACGTGGCCACAAGCTGCCAAGATCTGCCTTATCATGGTATCGGGGGCTCTTTCAGTTATGTTGCCTACAATCAATTGTGCGTTAAGATGCGAAAAAGCTCCAAATTCGTCTTTACTTACCAACGAACACTGTAACTGCAGGACCCTCTCGTTTCTGTTCGTTTCTATTAGTGTTCAGCTTGGGATAACCTCTGATCTGGGGTCCTCCAGCTACCTGTATAGGTACCATCTGTTAAAATAGGCTCAAAATAGTTCACGAAATCTTTTGATCGACATCAGCATGGTACAAGGCCGGTAGAATGAGACGTGTTCGCTTACATGTTGAATGGGCATCACTGGAGCCATGAGAGTGGTTGGTGGGGCCCCAATGGGCAGGGCATACACCGACAGTCCAGGCATTATAGGCGGCCTACCTGGATACGACATTCTTCCGCCTCGATAAAGGCCCCTTTACAAGGCTACTCTGTAAATAAGAAAATGTGTCCTTAACAGATCCTTTGGCACTTTACACGCTACGTTTTCAATCGCTGGATGTGGATAGGCGACTCAATTAGACCACACACTTGACACGTTCCATTAAGAAACCACGAATTGATTCTATTTGCCGTAACTTCTTCTGTGTAACGACTTGCACTCAGAAATTGTGCGAGAAAACACAGGGCAAACTTGAAATCAACTATGAATTCGTCAACGCCATTTGCATTGGATGTCATTCATATGTCATTGTCATTGGTCATTGTCAATGGTCAGTCAGTAGTCAGAGAAAAAATTGCCAGTATTCAAAATTCCAACTGGCAATGTAAGTTTGGGCCTAGTTAATGTTCACATTTCCTGAAAAGTTATCAGTTTTGTTGATTAGAAGAGCACAGAAATTTGCCAGAATTGCAGCCTTTTTCCGCATGATTTGAGCACAAGCTCAACTAACCTCTAAAGATGCCGAGTGTCACCCTCCCATCAAAATAACGTTAATAATTGAATTTAAAAAGCGGGAAAAAGTCGCCAGTTTTGTCCCCTGGCTTGCAATGGAGGCCACTATTTTGAATATTCTGGCAGCAAGTGAAGTCCAGCACGCTTATCCTGCATTGCAAAAGGACGCAGTGGATGCCATTGCGAGCCGAATAACTGATATAGTTTATACGACTTTGGAGTGCAAAACCGCACAAAGTATCGCAAAGAGATGTAATTTGTTGGTAAATTGAAAGCTCTCAATAGCGTAGTCGATGCTTGACCACGAGGTTTCTTTTAGAAGTTTGTGAACAAGCTGTGCTACACTCCAGAGTTTCACTCTCAAGAGCACCACTACAAGGCGTACCTTCAGGAGTACGACCGACAGTGCATTAAAGCTGGAAGCCCTGAGCTGGTAGACGCTATCAAAGCAGAACTGCTTGAAATATCCAATAGTGTTCACAGGGCGGTTAGCCAGTTCTATCAAAGAAAAAATGCTAAGACCAAAGAAGCCATCGCAAGACATGAGCTGATTAAGCAATGGGACGAGGAGAAACTAAAACTGAAGCCGAACTTCAGCTATTCAAAAACCGTCTCCCATTACGAAACGAGTCAAAGACTGATAGATGATTTGTTGTTGGGAAAGGCCTCCCCATCAAATGTTGACCAGGCAGCTTTAAAGGACCATCGAGAGAGGCAAGTTGCGTTCTCTTATGCGTTGGTGAACGTTGCTCAAGATGCCTCAGATCTGATCGCTCTGCATCAGGTCTTTCGAGCATTCTCCTCCTACGCAAGTCTGATGCCTTGTGAACTTGAGCTGTTAACAAATATCTGGATGCTGAAAGGTAACTGACACGGTAACATCAAACTGCTACCACATGAACTAATCGAATCAAGGCCTTGTAGATGGCAAATTCGATCTGAGGAACATAGTAAGTATCCAGTTTCCATTCATACTGGAAAACATGGTTATCCATTACTGTACCGACATCGTAAAGCTGCAGAACAGTTCGCAAGTTGCATCGTACTTCTGCTCGTTGAGTTCCGATCCGAAATTGCTACTTTTGCGCCAAGCTTGTGCCCGACATCGTCTTCTATATTTAAAGTTAAAAAATTGCATCTTTCAGTTGTATGTTCACAGTGTTTGTAATCGAAATATTTACAGATTTATTGATTACATTTTATGAGAGGTTGGTTGGAAGTATCTCTAACGGTTATTGTAGTACTCTTGTATAAAACTTTGAGATCTGGATAATCGTGCAGAGAGGGCACCACCACTTGGATCTCATATGGAAACCATGTGATTTGTGAAACATAAATTTTACCTTTGGGGGGGTTTTCAGCTGGTGATAAAAGCCGAAAAGTGAGGTTGATTTAGGCCTATTTGTCGAAAATTGTGGTCGAAAATACGTCTTAAGTGGCAATTCGAGATTAAACGCTTGAGCAATGGCGGTTTTGCTGGTAGATTTTTCGCTTGAAGAAGGTTTCTACGATACCCAGAGCTCAGTTTTGGAGTTACTTAATAAACTTGAGAATGCCGTCAAGCAAGGGTTTTCCTCCCTGCAGCGAATCAATAACTTTAGTTTGGAGGGCAGTTGGATTCGCATTCTCACTTCTGAGGCTTCAATGATAACGATGCGAATCTTCCCCAATCAATTGGGCCATATCACCATAGATTGTTATGCGAAGGACTCAGAAACACCTTCTGCAAGTCTTGAGGTAAGAACAAGCCCCTTACACTTTTTAGCACGCAAATAGGTGGACCTGAATGCTAAACATTCCCACCGTGGACATTCAATTGAAGCAAATTGAAATAAATTGGAGCTCATGAATGTCGCTGATATGAATGGTTATTCAATTCCGCTGATTTATTTGTTTGATGATTTTCAGGTAGTTCGAGAAATTGAGCGCCACATTAAAGCCGCAGTACGTGGGATCAAAAGTATTCGTGCTTTGCCAAATTTGCAAGCCGATAAAGCCGTTCGGTATTATCTTACTTCAGGTAAACGATTGCAATTTGCGGTTGAACGTTAGACAATGAGAGTTTCTGTTATTTCAGATAACAGGGTAGTGGAGTATGATGTTACTGCCCTCGTCTTCGACGAAACCACCCCTTACCAAAAGGTACAAATCGTCAAATCCAAAACCATGGGAAATATATTGGTCTTAGACGACTTGCAAAGTGAGTAGAACTGGCAAAAGATAATTCCCACTGAAACTAAGCTCTCATTCGGTTCTTCAGATCTGGGTGAAATGGATTTGCCCTACACACATACATTGATGGGAAAAAACGTAGAGAAATACGAGGGCAAAGAGGTCCTGATTCTAGGTAGGTACGGCTAAGATCACCAGAGAGTTTGCAATGTATATGTGGGTGTTGTAGGCGGAGGTGACGGGGCTCTGCTATACGAATTGTTACAAGAAAACCCCAAAGAAGTGGTCATGGTTGAGCTGGACGAGGTCGTGATTAAAGCCTGCTCCAAATACATGAGATCCGTTTGCGGAGACGCGATGGACAACTACGATGGACCTCATCATAAGGTTTCACTCACAAACCCCGCTTTCAACCACCGCTTTACATAACACGATCGTTTTTTCCAGATAATAATTGGCGATTGTTTGCCCGTTCTCGAACAGTACATCGGCGAGGGCAGACGGTTCGATTATGTTTTTGGCGATCTTACTGACGTGCCCATTTCGGTCGACAAATCTTTGGAATTGTGGGCCTTCATTAACAAGGTGCTGAAACTGAGTTTTCAAGTCTTGAAGCCTGATGGGAAATTCATGACTCACGTGAGTCCTAACAATATTTTGTATTTGTTTTGCCTACAGTACATTTGTCCTCAGGTGACTGGCCAAGGTTGTACCGAAGCTTTGGAGGCTTATAAACAATGCCTGGATCGACTGCAGCCTGCAGTGAAATACGAAACGTCCTCAAATTTCGTGCCCAGCTTCCACGAGACCTGGGTTTTCTGTCAAGTTAGTTTTAAGAACGGCGAAGCAGCGACAAATCAGCAGACCGAATAACGATACGTTTCGATTTGCCTATTTGTTACTTGAGGGCGTCTATTTGCAAGCAAGCCCTCAGATCAGAACGGCTCACATGAGTCTGGACTAACTATTCTTTTTCAATTAACGAGAACTAGTTTAGTCCCCCAGCCCCAACCAAGTTGCTTTTTGCCATAAGCTAGAGTCAGTATTTTTCTACAAATGTGTTCCTCGCTTCGTTCCGAAAATTTGCGCTATATTTAGATCTTAAGGAGCAATTCGTATGTAAGCAGGTTTGTATTTTCATAATGGTTATTATTATCTGTTTAATTTTTGTTTTAAATGCACGGTACCTTTATGAAGAATTGTGATTTTTTTACCTAGACTGAGCTGTGGAAGCGCGGATATCAAGCGGGCGGTGAAGGCGATCGTCTTGGCCCGGCAAAGTGGTACCATTGGGTGCAATATAGCAGTAGCCGTTCGACCAGAATTTCACGCTGGTTATTCTGCATATCATTTTTGGCTGGTGCGGGAGCTTCGCGGTTTGTTAGGCTTGTGGTACCGGTGCCGGGTGTTTATTTACGTACGCTTGTTCAATTGGGTAAGGATTTCCACCTATACTCGCATTAACAACGGTTTCCAAAATAAGAAATTTCAATATTTCGACTCAATTGTGGTCTGCGAATAGTTAATTCGGTTAATTGCGAAATTGTTGGTAATTACAAACGCAGCATTTAGGATGGAAGAACTCATAACTGTAGTGACATCAAGGTTGCAGACGTGCATGCACTTTAAATAAACAAATTGTTTGCTATTATGTAAATATGCGGTGAAACTGAATTGCAAAATGTCATCAGAACCCATTCGTGCTATATAATGATTGCCCTGCATCAAGCAGGTTTGCCATTAATTACCAGCTAATATTTACTCGTTCTAAAATTGAAAAAAACCTGTTTTTCCAACGCCTATTGTATATTGCACAGAAAGCAATAGTTAGGAGTTCAGTGAAAACATTTTTTGATGTTTGAAAACCTTTTATAAAATTTAATTATTTAAATTCGTACTTGTAGAATGGCAGTGAAAGTGCACAGATACATTTACCTGCACAGGTTGTAGCTGATGATTAATCGAATTAAAAAATTGATGGACTACTAAAGAAGGTTATAAAAAGAAGAAATGTACTGAAAAAACATTAAGTAAGTCTTTTCGTTAATTTTCAAATACTTTTTACGGATTTTTCAGCCTTAGATGTGTCACTACAGGGGGTTATTTAAAATTGTTAGACGCTTATTTGAATTAAGATTTGATAAATTTTAGTCTCATTTCTTGCTTTATTGCGTTTTTAGCCTTATTGAAATTAAAATTATGCAACATTGTGGTATTATCAATATGGATTTTTTAAAGAACCCGTAATGATGTATTGCTTCAAGCACTTTCTCCGCCATATGCAACACAATATCAAGAAATTCCCACATCATTATTCGACCCATTGCTTTTTGAAACTATTGTTGGAGGCTCGATTATAATTAGAGTAAATTAAGAAATTTCGATAGCGTTTACGGAAAGAAACACTGTTTGGAGTTTCGAGACTTTCTCTTAAAACTAAATTTTATAGCAAAAAACTTCTGGTTGCGCAAAAGTTCCATCGTTCCACAGGCAAGACCACCGCTTTTTCGCGTTTAGAGAGTCCAGTTTATTTGGTATAGACGCATACGCGAATGACCAACCACACGTAAAGACGTTTATTAGAGCAAAACATCGATGTGGAAAAGAAAAGTTCAACAATTAATACTTTGCATATTAACTGTCGGTAGTTATAAGGAACAAACTGGCAATTACTTGTGCAATTGTTTTGAAAAAACCGCAATTAAGTAGGCCGCCCTTATTGTAAAACCAGCTTTTTTTTAAATTGGCCGCGCGTTAATTACCCATCTAGTCGGCACAAACCAAATCGTTCCAAACCGGACCAATTATTATTAAGTCCCACTTAATAGGTAAGCTAATAATGCACTTTTTCTGCAGTTCGGAGTTCGAAGCATGAAATAAAGTGAACGTAATTTGGAAAGTACCGTATCACTGTCATTGCCGCACTGAAAACGCAAACGAACACTTTGTCGGTACCATACGCAAGACGCTGGTGCCGAACCATCGTTGCCTGAGTGGAAGTTGTGTTGTTTTGTGAACGAAAGCACTACGGGATGATGATTTACTCGAGTGGTTCCCGTAGGGTGTTTTGGGGTAAGTACCCAAAGCCATTGGGGGTTGAGTTAGTTGAGTGAAATTATTATTTTTTGATACTGTTTTTAAACTTAACTCGATAGAACTTGGGAATCGACCCGAAAGGAAGCTTGTGTGGACTCATCCACCACGGTTTCATTACTGATGAGTGTGTTCAAGCAATAAATTGTCCTTCGCCATTCTGTCAACAACCGGATGTTTTGTACTGTTTTATATTGACTATTACTGGTAGACGCACAATCGACTAGTATTTGTTAGCACTAGCATAAATATTCTAGTTTTTGCGGTAGTCAATATCAAATGATTTTTCCAGAGTGATTTCATCTTCGAAACCTGTTTTAAGTAGCGCATTCGCCATCGCGTGTATCACCATCGTCCCTACCCGTTTCGCGGAAATTGATCCTGTGCGAATTAATAACGTATGGTGCACTTATTTGAATGGAAGATTCGTCTCAATTAGCGCCACTCTTTCCTAAACTCTTCGCATATAATTATGCGATGGTGTTGCATAAAAATCCTCAAAAATCCGCGAATTTGTGAACTTTTCCGAATGTTTATTGCTCGTTAAAGCGGCTTTACCTTCTAGGCATACGTTTCGTGGCCACCTGGAGCCAGAGTTATATCATCAGATATGTGTGCGTAATAGCAATAATGTGAAACTTGTATTATTAAGCGCTAAAGTGGATTGGGTAATTGGAAATGTGGGTTTCATCTAAGGCGAGCACCAGGAAGTGCAAACTATGGATTCCGACAGAAAATGGCCATAAAACGGTTCAACATGTTAGTGGAATGGAACTTTTTGGCCTGTAGGTATTTTTCAACTGGTCCCCGTACTTGGTCCGAGTGAAAGCCATTCTTGCAATAGTAGATTAACATATCTCGGTTTCCTTCACGTGTATCAGTTGTACGACTGCATTTGGCTAAATATGCTTTTTGCATCAATTTCTACTTGACAAGAAATCGTCGGAATATTTAAATTGAAATCGATACAGAAAACGACTGGAGGATGTCGACGGTCATAAAAGAGAAAAGCGTGTTGAAAGAGAAGAACACACAGGCGTTAAATGGTCGGTTTAGCGAAAATGCAGCAATAAAAAGCTCGATATTGAACAGGAACTAATAAATGAAAAAACCTCTCCTTCGGTAATTATGCCAAATGACCAGCGAGTGGTTATTTGGAGTCGTTTTACTGCCAAGTGGAAAAATATGCGGCCGCAAATAAAAAATGGGCAATTATGGACAAGGTTGACTCTGACGCAAATCTCAATCTTCGTACTTTATACCTTTTATCGAAGATCTTGGACGTGCTGTTTGTGCACACAAACACGACCCAAATGCTCGAACAATTGATGTTATCTTTGCCCCAGGCAAAAAAGTCGTACGGCCGTCGCTGGTTTTTTCAACACCCAATAGGTTCTGCGTGATGAATCTGAAGCCATAAAGGCACTCGAGCGGGTACCGGCGCATTCTGGCGCACTTTGCAAGTGGCCCCTGTAGCCAATCGCAGAAGAACCATCGACTGGTACCAATTTACCTAAGCTAGTCGGGTGGGGAGTGGCTTTTTGGTGGTACTTGCGGTACCCGATCAGGTGTAACTGTGCAGCAGCAACAACGATCGAAAGCGGCTGTAGTGCGCTTGTTTTTTGACGCGCTTTTCCGTTTTTTTCCGTTTCGGTGTCAATCGAGTGAGCTTGACCGGCGCACCGAACGAACAAACAGCGCCGTGTCAGCGCACCAGTGGATTTAGCTGTTTTTGACCGAAAAAGTAAGAGTTTTTAATTGCTTTTTTCAACATTGAGGGTGAAATTTTTCTAACACCAACAAGTTAAAATGTGGATTAGCTAATTGGGGTTTAGGAACGCGTCTGTCGCTTTGCGCTTCCAGCTAGAGGAGATTAGGCGCTAACTTTTCCTCGTATTTTTCTCTCTAGTCGACTGGGACTGGTTTCTAGAAACCAGTCGATAGGCTAAAGTCCAATGTCGCAGTTTTTCTGGGCAGCAAAAGAAGAGTCGTTTGCAATTGAACGTGTTTGTTACGCAACTGGCAGCATTGAAGCGACCTTTTCGCGCTCCGAATTAGCATTCGAGTCAATTATCAAAATCTGTTGCTATGAATAATTAATGCCGAAGAAGTGACGATAACAACCGTCGTTAGTCTCAACTGCTGGGTACTTAATTCGGGCCGAGACGTAAAACTGGGACTTTTACAGTAGAACAAAAAGACGCTAATTCCTTCGGGGGCCTTGATGAAATCCTGCTAACCCTGTTCCAAAGTTCAGTGCCGAGTAGTCGTTGTTTTTGGAATCACCCAGTATAATTTTCGCATAAAGTAGCCATCAGCATGTTTACCGCCAGGTGAAACCGCGCTTGCATTCTGCATTTCAATGCAACGGAGGTCATAAAACTGCTTCATGCTAGCGTTTGATAACTGAAGAAGGAGATGGGAGCTTGATGCGTGTCGGGCATCAGGAATTATTGCTCCTGGGCACTTTTGGCGGAATAATATAAACAATAACGACAATCACATTTCTTAATCCTCCATTATTCTTCCCATAGTAACATGTTGCGTAAGAGCCAATTAGCTCGGTAACCCAGAGAGGCACGTAACGCAACCGGCAGGTCAAAGTGAAATCTTCCAGGCATGAAAACTAGGTTGCAGATGAACTGTGATGAGTCGTCATGAGGAACTGGGTGCCGATTATTACAATGTGAATTTTCCGGTCTTAACTAATAGTTTGTTAATTGAGCCACTCGAAACGAAAGCTGGGACTGGTTCAAAGGCATTTTCTCATTAATAAATCGTTCCTACTTATGCATATTGATTGTTCGGTCAGCCATTGCAATTATCGAACTGGTCCAACCAAGTGCTGGGAAATGATCGAAAAAGTTTGGGAAATCGGAGCAAAACTTCCGCGCGTTTGCGGTGTTTAATGCCACTAATGGATGGGCCAATTAGCATGATGCTTTTACACTTTGCCCATTCGAACAATTAATGTGTTTTTCGCGATGCTCGCTTTAGTATGTTTTTATGCTAATCAGCGGTTATTAGTTGGCAATAATTACGTCTTGCTAATGGCCGCCTCCTATTTTTCCTCAGCAATTAAGCGCAACTAAGTGTTGTTTTTTCAGTAGGCGACTCGTTTGGACTGTGGCCGAAGGCAAAGAAAATGGTGAAAAAGTCACTATAACATGAATGCTTATGCTATTTAGGGCAATGGAGACTCTCTCATGCGATTCACTCACTGTTTGTTTTGTTTTCCACTCACTGTTTGTTCAACACAGTTGTGGAAATTCGAATGACCAGCGAGAATCAATCCCGGCCGCAGCCTTTCAAAATGCGTTCCACTCGGTTGTAGAATTGCGTTCTTGAAGCTGAATGCTCGTTTACGAAATGAACGATATTACGGAATTTGCAGTTTGTAGCGGCATATAGTTAACCCACATTTTAACAGGTTGTGTTTAATAATAATCCGCAATCGCACCGAGAAACTACACCGTTTGTCTTTTGCAGCAACGAACGAACGCCATCCGACCCGAAACAGGAAGAAATGTTGTGATCGAGCGGTGGTGGCTCTGATTTGAAAGGAAAAAGTGACTGTGCGGCCAAAGTGATTCGAAATTCATTGTTGTGACGTGATTTTAGGGCCGTTTTCGATCACATAATGAAGGGCAGGGAAAAGTTGTGCGCCAAATTGTCGAGTGCTTTTTTGCGAAAGTGGTGTAAGTATTGCTGCTCCGTAACGTCGTTCCGCAAATGGTCCATCAATAACCAGCTATTTTGCGATAAAACTGTGCGGCCGATAAACACAGTAATTAATGGAGAACGCGTCCATTGTTCCCTGCTGCCATTTACTGCATTTCGAGCCACCGATCGCATTTTTATATCGGTTTTTTATTGCGAATTTTTATAGGCGACGATTGCAACGTTCTCACCTTTTTATTGTTCGGTGATCGTGATTTGCATAAACCGTGCAAATTGCTCAAAGGGGAACCTTCCGATCCTCCCAGTTGCGTCTAATTGCTGTATCCGCAACTTGGTTCCTTGGTCTTCTTTGACTTGTTGCGTACCATAGAACAGGCCTAAACCACTTCTTTTACCAGCTATTTTTTTGAGAAAACAAATTTGAGGTTTCAAGACAGCAAAGACCTAAAAGAATCTAATGTTGCCCAATTATGAGTTTGTATGAATTTCAAATCTGATGATGGCGCTGTTGTCTCGCCGAAACGTTATGAAATAAACGATATAAACATTTTTATTTCACACTTTGACTAAAACCCAGGAAGGAAAAGAATATACTTGGAAATGTATGTGATTCCTGGGAGTGTCCAGTCAAGGTGGCTTCCAACAGAGCGCTCAAAGTGGGCAGAAGACATTAGACATTGTTCCTATGCGAAAAACTATCGGGCGTCTAAAGTCGTTTTGCTTCAAACTTTTCAAGAAGTCCTAATCATCCCTTCGAAGACTAGAACTGCGGTTTTTGTCTCAACGTTTCGGTTGTTCAACCGCAGCAGTGTTCAGGGATTTAAACGCATTTGTTATTCTTTCGTGAAAGTTGACAAAATCCCTGGAAATTATCAGTTTTCATGGTGATAATTTCTCAATTTTCACTTTACTCTGCTTTTACGATGACTATTAGAAACTTTTGCGAATTAGTCTTCGAAGCTGAATTGGGCGATTATTGCGAACTTACACTCTGAAGAATGTTCTTCAGCTTCTAGATGTTTGCGCGTGAGTTTAAAGAAATGCAAAACAAAACCTGACAAATCTGACGAAAAACATGTTTTGTACAGAATTTAAGTCGAAATCGGACATGTTTCTCGGTCAAAAGCAGCCTTAACTGGATCTTGATGGCTCATTGCTGAATTTCGCAGAAATCTATTAGCATGATTAAAAACTAAACAATAGAATGAGTAACGTTGTTCGCTGGATAAATCTGCTCACTTGTTTTTTTAAAATTCAATCCCTTGAATCACTGCCATCAAAATATTGAAGATTCGCGTTGTTTAGTGCAATTAGCGCTGGATGGTTTGTGCACGCAATTGCTGAATTCCTATCAATGCCTGCTAATTGAAACTTGGGCTTATTTAATTAAGTTTAGCCCCGGGGCCGCTGATGCGATTCTCAGATGCTGGAATCAGTCGCGTCCTTAACGTCGATTTTTAGCAATAATTAGAACTAACCGCAACATTGGCTTTTAAAATGTATTTGAATGTTAAATCGCTGGCTTTAACTTTGTCCTGTTGCTAACGGCAAAATTGGTCTATAAATTGTTGCTTCTCCAAGTGTTTCCAATGTTCCATTGTCCCCGTCCATGGACGATAATAGTCATGATGTCCAGGTGTTTAAATAGTCGTGTCAATAAACAGTAATTATAACATTGCGGATAAGTGTTTTGAAGACGGGGCATTAATTGATGAGCAAATATTTTCTCTTGATTACTCAGTCGGCGGATTCTACACATTTGATGTGTAAGCTTTTTCAGTGTTTAAGTGAGGAAGTCTGCAAGGAAACGGAAGAAGAAAAGCGGTCTTTTTTTAAAACTAAATCAGTTCACCAAGTTGTTGGTGCTGGAATTTCGCCTGCAGGCTCTTTAAATGGCACTGCGACCACCACCAAAGTCAACGATGAAACTAATGGGTTTTTAGGCCGTCGTACAATAGAATTTCTTCCTGACGTTTCGCAAGCACGAGTGGCTTGCATCTTCAGAAGTGGTTTGCTTGAACGCTTACACTGTTCTCATCAGAACCCGTTCA